CACTGAGAAGTTTTTAAAAAAAATTACACATATTTTACACAGTAACGTAACGCGTGAGCTGTACTTGTGAGAACAATTTTTTGTATTTCCTTAAGGCATGGGCTATCAGGAATCCCTTCAATGAGTCTATTGGAACCTTTTCCAATCAATCCGAGGGCATCAACTACAACTGGAATTTTTGATGTCCTCATGTGACACATTTTTGGGATTTCGATTTCAAGCTGCTTTTATGTTGATAGTTTTTTAAGATCTTCAAAAATAAATTACCGTCTGCCATGTCAATAAAAAGGCACTTTTTTTCTTTGCGATTTCTAATCACGATGTCTGGACGATTACCTTTGATTGTTCTGTCTGTGTTTATTGTGTAGTCCCATAAAATTGTTACAGGTTCGATCTCTGTAACCAGGTCTGGGTGATGTTTATACCAGTTTCTTGGAGTTTCCTTTCCGTAAAAGTTGCAGACTTTCCAGGGCTTATCTTGGCCCACTCTGTCATTGCCGTGTTTTATATTCAGTGGGTGCCAATACCGCGCAACCTGACACAAGATGGTCCATTGTTTCTAGATATTTATCACAGAATCTGCATTTTGGACTAACAATTTTTAAGTATGTGTGCTTGGTAATTTCATGTGCAGCAGGAATAAAACCTTTGGTTTCAGCTTTTAACCTTGCACTACGCATTGATGGGTACAGGGTTTGTCTGCATCGGCTTATTTGCTATGGGCAGAATAATGACGATGAAAAGGTTAATCTTGCCATCGTTCTTCCATTTTGTCCCTAACATTATTTGCTTTTGCTTTCTTTATTTAGGTGTTTTGCCACTGCAAATTATTGTAGATTGTATTTGTATTGATGCGGCATTCACCCTGGGCGGATTGAGCCGGCTTCTTCTTGTTGACTCATTCGTAGTCATGTGAGAAGAAGATTCTTGGGATAAATTACAGAAGTAGGGTACCCAGGCCTACTCTTGCCGCGGGGTTCCCACAGACGCAGAGACAGGAACGACCAGAAACCGATTTTTTTTTTAAGAGCAGGTTTGAATTCAGAGTTTTCCTTCTCCTAGACTAGTTGCCATCCAAGGCTATAGAACCCAGTCTGTCCTGCTATTTACCCATAGCTGGAGGGAGAAGAAGAGGATTCACACCTTAGCACGTAAGTGAAAGTAATGGATTCGACTGGAATTCGAACTCGGCTCTCCGATTCCTCAATCCAAGCCGCTATCCACTACTCCACCGTGCCTCCTCTACTACTACTGCAGTAGATGCATTATGGTTTATTTGTATTTCTTCACTCACTTGAAATAGCCTTTTGAATTTGTTGGCTTGCTTTATTACTGAATAAATTTTCCTATTCCTTCTTTTTTCTTTTTCTTTTTTTTCTTTTTCTTTTTCTTTCTTTCTTTTTCTTTTTCCTTTTCTCATTGTTACTACTACGAGTAGTATTAGTATTTCCTTTGATATATGTTGCATACTATTTTCTTTCATGGTCCCAAACAGAGGATAATGGTCAGAAATGGCATCATAACATTTTTTACTGTACATGTGTGTGCTAAATAAACTTCTAAAATACACACATTTTACATTGATAAAGCTCTTTGGTGTTTGCCTACATCAACTTGTTTTGTACGGGCAGAATATTGACCGTGAAGCTGTTTATCTTACCATCGTTTCTGTATCTGGTCGGTTGCATTTTGTTTTCTTTTTTTTTAAGTATTTTGCAGCTGCAGTCGGTGTATCGTGCTTTACTTGTATTTCTTCATTTTGAACTTGTTGGCTTTCCTGAATAAAGTTGCTTACTATTTTCATATTCTTTGACACATATATCCAGTCTTCTGCAGTTTGCAGGTATCTTTATAAGGCTAATTTCTGTAGTTTTGTAAACCAGCTAGCAAGCATTGGTCCCCTTGGCCGCAAGAATAAAATGTTTGGTTTCATCTCTTAAACCTGCACTACGTAGCCACTGATGAGTACGGGTTTTGTCTTGCCATCGTTTCTGTATCTGGTCGATGGGATTATGCTTTACTTGCATTTCGTCACCCATTTGAAACTATTATTATTATTATTATTATTATAGCTTTAGTCTTTGGCGGCGGTAAGGTCTGCTATGGAGATCTTGGTTGCTTCGATAATAAAGGTGATTTCAACGCCTTGGAGAGACCTGTAAATTTTCTACCGGGCAAACCAGAGGAAATCGATGCCAAATATTGGCTTTTAAACAGGTAAGAATATTTTTGTTATTACAGGTGGAATTGAAAAAAGCATGTTCATTATTTTTGTTTATTATTTTTTTTTTTTTTGGACAGCCATCAAAAGCGTAGTGAAACATGTACAATGCCCGCTGTTTCAGTTAACACTGGCATTCCCAGATATAAACAATTCATTGATGGCTAAAGATGTCTTCCAAAAGCTAAGCAGAGTAATAAGAAATAGAAAATAAACTTCACGAGAAACAAGGAAAAGAATACTAAACCGTTACGTGATGTGGTTGTGATTGCCGGACAATCTCCTTAAAGATGAAGAAGATACCATACTCACTGCTGTCCAGTGTGTTCGTGATGAAGCCTTTCTTTTGACTGACTTTGCGACAACGGTTTTGAAGTTGTGTCAGTAACTTGGTTCAGGAAAATAATTCAAAATATTTTAAAGTCCATAATTTCAACGAATTGCCATGAAGCGGAAATGTTCATACAACAGATTAATAAAGTGATCCATGGGTAAAATAGGTTGAGAGTCATTGTCAGGAAGAACAACACGAACACAAGAGAAGAAATAACGAAGGTATATTACACGAAATAAAAATACAAGATGTGGAAGGTGTTAGTATGACTGTCAGTCTGGTTTGGAGTGAACTACTATCGGCTCGACTCGATTCGTCCCTCTTTCTTGAGAGGCGTAGTATACATAGTGTTAGGAAGAGTTCATTTTGTTATAGGTAAGGACCCATGACAGATATAAAGGTTTATTTTTTATCGATATGGATTGAATAAAAGCTAAACAAATATTAATGTACAAAAAACAAACACACAAATAGAAAGCTCCGATCGGGGAATTTGGCTGTCGAAGTGAATAAATTGTGCCCCTCTGCTAAACACTATTTCTACTTTTTAGTAACAAGTAACTTGAATGGCTTATTAATGCTGACGTCTAGTGATTGAAGAACCCAAAAAAAAAAGAATTTTTTAAAGAATATAAGATATGCAGAACACACAGTTCTAATGAAATATACAGAAGACAGAATGAATGATTGTCAGTAAAAAGATGATCCCAAAGCGTGAATTGTAAATCTGAGATACCAAATTAAAACAAGCGATGAAATTTAAATATCTGGGAAATGTTTTAACAGAGGGCAGAAAGTACGGCCCTTAGATCCGAAAGCGTATTGGTACAGCAAAAGATGTCTTCTAAAAGCTAAGCAGAGAACTAAGAAATAGGAAAATTTCGCTAGAAACAAGGAAAAGAGTATTAAACTGTTACGTGATATGGCAGTGAGTGCTGGACAATCTCCACACAGATGAAGAAGAGACTTGAAGCAACAGAAATGTAGTTCTACAGAAGGATGCTAAGGATACCGTGGACCGAACATGTGAGCAACGGCGGAGTTTTGGAGAGAATGGAAACAAAAAGAAAACTAATACTTAACATCAATTGTTCTAACGAGACAAGTTTACTAAACATTACACGACGTCAAGGTGGGGCTTTTTCCTTACCAATGGATCACGAAGAGAATGAGGATGAGTCGACCCAGCGTGCATGGCAAGATCGGTCGTAGTTGTGAAGATCTGAACTGGTAGAACTAGGGAATGCATCTCGTGTAAAGATTTGCCATGGATATAGCAACGGAGTAGCGAGTGGCTGCGAATGTTTGGAAAAGGAGTTTGTAGTGTTGAAATGAATTCATCGCCCACAAGGATGTGTAGACGCTATTGAACTCTATCAGGTTTGGAAAGTGAAGACATAAAAAGGTCAGTGGGGAAAGATACAACAAACGCCGGTTACAGTTTACATCGAAACGTCAAAGATAAGGAGACGCTCAGTATTTAAATTACAATTTTGACATGCGTCCTCTCCCTATCTCATTCATTTTTTTATTACGTTTATTTTCTTTGTTGTTTATTTAATCATACGACATTGCATGAGTAGTAAATCTGTGATGAAGCGAGATGTTGTATAGTGCAAATTTACCATAGAGATTTCCTAAATCAGCGCACTTTCAATACATTTTTGCTTTAATAGATAACCTCTTTTAATCAAAACTGCATTAAATCCAATGAAAATATATGCGCTAAATTTTGATCTCTAGACAGTTTGTCCCCATATATTCGTATAACATTGTATGTAAAATAAAATATAAAAGGGTTAAGGATTAAGAAAAAAATCTCCTTACACAAACAGCCACACAATGCTGACATTTCGCACAAAAAAGGAAAAATAAGGAGTATTTTCTATTTTTTTCATTGTTCCGTGAACTGACTAATCAACTAGTGGTAAAAAGAAAATGACAATCTTATCTCTTAAAACGGTTCTTTCTTCCAAAATTATTCAGTGAGAATTTTGGCTTAGTTGCTAAAACTTTCTCATTCATTTTCACCCTCTCCGTCACTGATATGTAGTCGGTAGCATTTCCCTAATGTGGGGTGGGGGCAATAAAAGTAGCCAATACAGACAATGTATTGTTCCTAAAAAAAAAGTAAAAAACAACTGAACTGAATTTTTTTAAAAGAGAATTTGCGACTTTGATGTATTTCATTTGAAGACAGCCGTGCAGATTAATGCCGCGACACCACTAATTCGAGTTACGTATATTGTCGCGACAATGTCATATACGCACCCATTATTATTATTATTATTATTATTTGAAATGTTTGAAATATTTAAGAGATAAGATTTATCGTTTCTTGAGCTACGAAGTTTCGCAAATTATTATTGTTATTTTTTAAATGACGAATATAATCATTAAAAATCATATTTCTCTTCTACCAGGGACGATCCAAAGGGTGTGCCTATGACCTACAATGACGAAGAAGCGATTAAGAACAGCACCTTCGCTTATACAAAAGAAACCAAGTTCGTGATTCACGGTTATAAAAGTTCCACGGAAAAAAACTGGGTCCATCATCTAGCTGCAGAACTACTGGCTCACGTAAGATAAATATAATATAATACAATATAATTTTATACATACAACGTGTGAAAGCACGTGCGATACCCTGCCCTCGTCAGCCGCCGACCAAGGGAGGTAACTCAGTTTTTGTGACTAAGGCGGCATTGCCACCCCTGGTGCCACCAACAACTTTTGCCACCGGAAAGGGTATTGTTTTTTATGTAGACGTGTCGGTCTCTTGCGATTTTTTTAGAAGTACAAGTCAGATTTTCAACGTTGTGCTTGCTTTTAATCATTAACTATTACACAACCGTTATTAATGACGTAGATTGGAAGGTAAACAGATGTGTTTCACGTCGGAAATAGCATTGTATTGCGAGCATGGTTTTAATTAACTTGTTTATTTGGAATCTTGACCAGATCCATCTTGATGCCTGTGGTCTGTAGAGGATATGAAGCACACTTCAGGCTTGGGCCTGTGATGCGCACCTTCAAAATGAAGGAAACGATTAACTGTCCAAGGAATTCACGTAACCCGACCACAATAGGTAGCACATGACATGTCCAACACTTTTTCATGCATAGTTTGTTCCAATAACTTGAACCGATTTTAAATGTGAATTAATCTTAAGCGTCTGATTTTTTTCTTTCAGATGTAACAACTTAAGTCTTTGGCAATTTCAACCATGGAAAGAGTGACAATCAAACAACGTGTTAAAGTTTCAAGAGTGCAATTGAAAAAATTGTTCGTAAATTCAAACAAAGTGGGTCGTTGGCAGATGTGAAAACATCATTGCGTGCTCGTTTACGCCGTTCAGATGAAAACATTGCTGCAGAGCACGAGAATGTCTCCCCAAATCCAAACACCTCTATTCGTCATCGCGCGCAAGAAAATGAACCGCTACACAACAACGTTAAACCGTTTCCAATTGCACTCTCGGTTGGTCGATTGTGTTGACAAAAAAAAAATCGCAAAGTACGCGAAATGCATTTCTGTTTGAATGTCCATTTTCGTAATAGGCTTTAATAACTTTTACACGTTGTTTGATTGTTAATCTTTCTATGGCTGAAATTGCCAAACGCTTAAGTTGTTAAATCTGAAAGAAAAATGTCATTAGATGCTTAAACTTAATACACATTTAAAACCGGTCCAAGTTATTGGAATACCCTTTATATCCACTTGTCAAACGGTTTTGCCCACGCGTGCATATCCTAGGCGCAGGTGGGTCTATCACGTGGATCTGTCGAAGTCAGCTAATGTCTTCCTGTGAGACGCGGATCTTCCCTTATTAGTTAGGCGGTCCTTCCCTAGATTGACCTGTCACTGCATCTGGCATCTCTGATGTGTGCATTCCAGCCTCATCTACGGCAAACAGAATAATTTATATCATTAGACGCTTAAACTTAATTCACATTTAAAATCGGTCCAAGTTATTGGAACAGCCTTTATATTATATAATGGTAACTCAGAAACCTATAAAAAAAATATAATAAACAAGCCATTATCAAAATATATTAACGAGGCAGTATCAGAAAGGTTTACTATCAACAAGAGATTCAAGAATGCTGTTTTACACTTCAAAACATATTCAAGCGCCGACTGTGGAAGCGATCACCTTCTAGTTATATGTACACTACGGAAATTGAAGAGGCCGAAGGCAGCACCTAATTTGCAATACGACAGACTCTTGAACGACCCGAATTTGAAGGAGAAATATATGGACAGTTTAAAAAGCAGATAATAGGGACAACATGAAAGTGGAAATTCAAAGTGGGACACATTAAGACAAGCTTTAATAACGTCAGAAATCGAGATCTTCCGAAAGGAAATTAGAAAATCGGGAAAAAAATGAATGGATGACAGATGAAATTCTCGACAAAATGAAATGAAATGGGGACCTACCTTCATGGACAAAAAAAGACATCGTCTTATGATAGAATTATGCCCTCGAAAGAGGACTGTTTTTGACGATTTGACTACGTTTGGGCCTTAAAATGTGCGACTTTTGTCGAACTCTCTGCTTTGGCAGAGAGGAACCAGGAAAAAAATTTGCCGAAGGTCAAAAGTTTCGTCCGGGAGAAGAAAGGAGGCCCTGAACCCGTCTAGGCGGGTTCAAAATAATTTTATATTTTTTGGCCGAGCCTACGGGCTCTAGAGAATTTGAAGTTAAACTCGAAACATACACATTCCTCGTGGGGGGGTTTCCAATTTAAATATCGCTGACGAGTTGACTACTGTACTTAGACGTCAGACGGACGTGAAACTGTATTCGTTCTTTTTGTTAATAATACGTTTTCACTGAATTGCTGAGTTCGTGTTTTCTTTCGGACCTCTCCCGGGTCCTCAACATGAAAACGAGACAAAAAAAAACAACGCCAAGACACGGAAAAGATTATAAAACACGAGACGAATAAATAAGGAATAAAGCAGGTTATAGAGGAATGGCTCAACGAGAAATGTGCAGAAATAGAAAGAGTATCATAGATGAAGCAGATAGTCAAAAAAAATAAGAGAATAGGACAAAAAACATGCTCATCAACAGGATACAAAAATCCAAAGATGGGACGCTGGTATTAAAGAAAGGAAAATACTTCAGAGATGGAACACGAATATATCGAAGAACACTTCCACGATGAAGGCGAACAAATGGCAATCTACAGAAATATCGACGGACCGGAAATATTAAAATCTGAAGTGGAATCTGGACTGGCCAAATTAAACAGAAACAAAGCGGCAGGGCCAGACGGGATTGTAAGAGATGCTGGCAGCCGTAGATGATTTCGGCATAGACAAGATTGCAGAAATAATAAACGAAATCTATAAGTGTTTACATACCGGATGATCTAAGTAGATTGATTATCATCGCAATGCCTAATAAGCCAAGTACAAATGAATGTGAACTCTATCGGATAATCAGCTTATTGAACCATATAAAAAAATTGTCATCCGAATTCTGATGAATACAGCGCGGAGCGGAATCAGACCAGAAATATGACGAGAGCCATACTGTTATTGTCCGGATTCCTTGTACCACGGTGATAGTCCAAGGTAGAATCAATAAAGAAGAACTCGAACACGGGCATGGAATAATACAGATATATTACAAACAGGAATATATACAGAGAAGTAGAAGTGTTAGTATGGACAATCAGGTTTAGTAGAGAGAACAATGTAGTCTCGACCAGTATCACTATTCCAATGTCTTGTAGTAATTGTCTGAACGCGACTCTGTTTCGGACTGCCTCTGACTCGACTCTTGACTCGACTTGAACTACTCACTGACGATATTCAGTCACCCCCCCACGAGGGCGTCATGTGGCACAAGGCCTTTTTAATGTGGGATCTCCGAGCCCCATGGGCCAGGCCAAAAATATGCCCATTGAACCCGTATACACGGGTTCAGGATCGGTTTATCTCCCCGAAAGAGAATCCGCCCTTCGGCGTAGCCTCTTTCGGGTTCCTCCCCGCCCGTAGGCAGAGAGTTCAACCGATCAGCCAGTTCAGACTTGAACGACTGACGATATTCAGTCACACCCCTTCACAAGAGCGTCATGTGGCACAAGGCCTTTTTAATGTGAGATCTCCGAGCCCGTGGGCCCGGCCAAAAATATGCCCATTGAACCCGTATAAACGGGTTCAGGGTCGGTTTACCTCCCCGAAAGAGAATCCGCCCTTCGGCGTATCCTCCTTCGGGTTCCTCCCCGCCCGTAGGCAGAGAGTTCAACCGAACAGTCGGTTCAGACTTGAACGACGGACTCCTTGCCTACTTCTGAGGCGCAGAATTTATTAAGTATGGAATAGTCCATTATTATTATTATGGGTAAGATCCTATAACACATACGGGTTCGTTAAAGACACCGGAACAAGGAATACGATATTTACGCTTAGAATTATACCAGAGAGAACGATGCAAACGCAGAGGGACGTGTACCTGAGTTTTATTGATTTGTTGGAATTAATCAGCAACCTTGACATATTTGGGAAGGATATTAGAATAATCTACAACCTATACTAACAACAAACCGTCTACATACGAATAGAAAATGGATTCAGCAGATATGCAAAAATAAAAAGAAGTGTAAGACAAGGGTTTATTCAACTTATACAGCGAGGCGATTTTGAGTGAGTTTGAAGTCCCACGAAGACCATTATTGGCAGCCACAATCCTAACAACATAAGATATGCAGATGACGTAGTGTTGATTGGACTGTACATTTGCTGTTTATAAGATTCCTGGTAGATAACTCTTCCCACCCAATCATGTATATTTTCTCTGATGCACTGTAGTATTTGTTTAGCATATCACTGAGGGTATTTCTTTTTCTAGGACGACTACAATGTTTTCGTGGTTGATTGGAAAAAAGGCGCCGGGGTGACTTACGGTAAAGCTTGTGCCAATGCCCGGGTCGTTGGTGCCGAAATCGCTGTCCTTCTCACGAAACTGAAGCAACTCATGAATGCCAATCTGATGACCTTTCACCTGATTGGAAGCAATGTCGGAGCCCACGTTGCTGGTTATGCTGGGGAGAGACTAACCGATCTTAACCGAATCACAGGTACGCCTTTCTATATACATTCCTCGACATACGACAGAGATCCGTTCTTACGACGTCTTAAGCATTTACGTCAATCAACTATCCTAACGTAAAGTAATAATCTGTAATAGTAGCTCTCAACCGGGGTCTATATGGGAGTTAGGATCGATGTAACATTACTGGGACTCCACAGAAAAAAATAGCAAATTTGAAATCCACGGTAATATTTTAGTGGTCCATTGAGCAATTTCACATTGTTATAAGTTATTTTACTAGTGTAGATAAATGTTCCTTAAAATTTAGTTATTAAATACAAGTTTATTTTCATTAAATTAGTTTTACTTCAAAATAAAGCATATAAATTTACTATTTCTATAATACAATTACTAAACTTATCTAACAGTAAAAAATTTAAAAAAATGTTTTTTTTATATATATCGAAAAGTGATGGGGGTCCATCAAAAAAAAAAAAATTAGGAGTAAATGTGGTCCATGGGTAAAAAAATGTTGAGACCCACTGGTCTCAAACATAACAACACATTTCTATGAGATATCTCTATCTATAAAAGGCAGGATGTGTGTGTGTAACGAATGCACGGCCGCAATTTTCGACGGATTTGCACCAAAATTTTACATGCACATGCTCCAAGTTAGCGGGAAGGCCAAAATCGACTTTACATTTCCCAACTCCCATCGATAGTGGAAATAATCGATCTTTTCATGCTTCTACGGCAGTTTTCATGTAGTTTGCGGCCATTTTCGACAGGCCAGAGTGAAAGCCAATAGCTGGCTGTCACAAATAGACAGGAAGATTCTATTGGCCAGCGTAAGAGCCAACAGCTGACTGACACGAATGTTAACTAGCATGCAAAAAAAAATTGATAGCTGCATTCGTTACAAGTGGGAAAAATTTAAATCTGCATAGTACTTTACTCCAATTGGCTCATTCGCTTGCTTAAACTCAACGTTGATTCTGATTCCGCAGAACTGGGTTGGGTGTGAAAAAGTATTTGTTGCTAACATTCTTTTTTCATTCGGTTTTTCCAGTTACGGGTCCTCTTTTAAAGCTGATAGTTTTGTGATCATTTTGTTTAGTTCTTTTTTCGTAACAGATTAATGCTTAGTATAGAGCTTAGAAAAAATTTGCAGTGTGAGATAGGCAAGAAGTAAGGCATGTAGCAACGTCAGCACGGAAAACGGCACTCCTTTAAAGGGGAAGGAAGGGCAAAAATATTTTAAGTCAAGTGATAGCGATTGCTGTATGAGTCGTACGATTTTTTAATCAAGCATGGGCAACGCCGGGCCATGCTGCTAATCTTAACATAATTAGAACTAAAGCCACATGGGGGACATGAATATAATACATATAATAAAATGAAATGATAATAATACATATGATGTAATAAAATAGATTTAAGCTGCCAGTGATGTCATTGGCTCTAGGTAGATGAGATGACGAAGCATAAGATCTTGTCTCTCTTGCAGTCCTCGGAAGAAAAACATCTGAGAAAGAAAAACAAACTCATGCTTCAGTATCTATCTATATTTCTGAGATGAGGTATTATGTACACTATTTACATTATTCGGACTATTGTCCTCATCTTTGTCGCCATATTTATCACAACGTTTCGGTTGTTGTACGCTCCGGCCTTCTTCAGGTGGTTGGAATGTCGAACTGAACTCTTTATTTCGCTCACACTGGGGTAGACTGTTCTAGTTCCACGTGCCATGTTTAATGGATGTCAGTTATCTCCTGTTAATTCCCTTCTCCAAGTTCTCCGCTGCCTTAACCGGGTATTGAACTCACACTGTTTGGGTCATGGATCTAACCAACGCCTTTATCCACTGTGCCATGTGTCCTCAAGGATAATGCAGTAGAAAAGTTAAAGTTCATAAAAGGTTTAGAAAAGTGTACTCGTTTGTTTGAGAAGAATCACGAAAAAACATATAATGACATCTGCATGTAAGCGACACCAAGTCTGCCTTTGAAAATGTATTTTTTCTTATTTATTTTTATTTGCGTATTTTCAAAGTTCAAACAAACAATATACACTAATAAAGTTATCTATCGGTTAGAAGCTTTGTTATTACCGTAGTGTTTTAGGCACAGTAATATATTAACAGCTGCACTAATAATAAAATAAAACAAATATAACAATATACGGTCATAAAAGTTATATGACGCATAGAAGTTTCTTGGGCATTAATAACAATCGGTAAACTAGAACCATTGTAACAATCATACTTATTACAAGACCCAGGTTGTGTGTGTGTGTGTGTGTGTGTGTGTGTGTGTGTGTGTGTGTGTGTGTGTGTGTGTGTGTGTGTACGTTTATATATTGGATCGGATTTCCTACATTTTTCAACCAATTTCAACAAAACTTCACAGGACTACGTAAAATTACCTTGCGGTGGTTCTGACAGCACCAAAAATTGGAAAACCACAATTGTTTTTGCACAAAATCAATTTGAAAACATGATTAAGAGGCATCACGAGAATGAAAGGGGGACAACTCATATCGAGTTATACTTATTATAAAACCCAGGTGTGTGTGTGTGTGTGTGTGTGTGTGTGTGTGTGTGTGTGTGTGTTCGTTTATATATGGGATCGGATTTTCTACATTTTTTCAACCGATTTCAACAAAACTTCCCTTTTTTTTTGGCAGGTAGTGTTTCTTATTGTCTTTACACTTTTTTTTTTTATTTTTACATTCAGAATGCTTTTAAAATTCCATTTACAAGACAATTGTTTATAATGAAATTCTATTCAATCGATAGACTCATAACGATTAAAAACAATGCTTTTGTTTGAGTTTCGGTTTGAACAATTCGTAAAAAAAAAAAAAAAAAAAAAACTAATTAAGACATGCGCGTCCGTCAACCTTAAACAATAATCTTTGTCAATTTTATTTTTCAGTCTTTATGATGGTCGATACTTGATCTATCTCTTACTGTTACATCCCCGGGCAACGCCGGGCTCTACTGCTAGTTAATAATAAAATAGAACAATTAATATATAACTATATTGTGCAATAAAATTATATGACGGATAGAAGATTCGTTCTTACTGTAGATGTTAGCAATCACTTCAGTTTTACTTTTCCTTGTTAGGTCTAGAACTTTTCTATTTCGCTTAAAAAAATATGTCTTCCCTTACGCGAATTACCAACATTACTAATCTTGTGCTCTGTGAACATCTTTAAGTAAGTCTGTTTAGAGCAGATATTTTATATAAAATAACATTTTTATTGTATTTCCCGATTGTGGATAAGATTTTTTTTCTAATGCTTTAATTTTTCATACTCTTTCCTTAAAAGGTTTGGATCCAGCTGCCCCTTATTTCCAAAATACCGGACCAATTGTGCATCTAGATAGGGGCGACGCTCATTTCGTCGACGTCATCCATACCGATACCGGAGATGGTTTGGACTTCGCGTTTGGAATGCACAGTCCAATCGGCCATGTTGATTTTTACCCAAATGGCGGTAAATTTCAACCAGGCTGTCCCAAATCGAACATAATCGGATCTATCACGGGAGGCATCATGGGATTGTTGAACCGTGACAAAAATCGTAAATATACAATATCTTTATCTTGTTTAATTTATTTTTCTTAAATTGCAGACAAAAGACTGCGCAACTACTCCCTTGACACTGACTCTTAGGACACTGAATTAATTTTTTATTCGTATTTAAAAATTAATTCATTTCTCTCTCAAATATATATATATATATATATATATATATATATATATATATAAGGCTCAAACACTAATATTCCATGGTTATAATTTATTACATATGAATCGTAATCACGATCCAATTCATCAGTCTGATGAATTGGATCGTGATTACGAATTATGTAATACATAACAACCATGGAATATTAGTAATTTGAAACTTTTATAGTATATTCTTACTCTGTCCTGGACATTGAGCTCTACCTGAATTCTATCCTCTTGAAAATTTATATATATATATATATGTGTGTGTGTGTGTGTGTGTGTGTGTGTGTGTGTGTGTGTGTGTGTGACAATGAGCTGTCGGCCCGTGGTCAACTCCCAGTCGCGGCGCGAAACTGTGATATTTCTTCTACCAGCTTTGTGAGGTTGACTCTTAGTCACTGCCACCAGCCTGTGTCCCGGTCGATCGGTGGTCGTCTCTACCCGGCGGAATCCTTTGGTCAGGGTACCAAGTGGGATGGTCAGTTGATTCTAACGGCTTCACACCAGCTGCAACCGGTTCGGCACCAGCTCCGTCGTTCTCAGCATACTTCCAACATCTGGTTACCGAAGTTTTCTACAGAGAGTGACGATTTTACGTTTCTTAGGCAACTTCTGGTCTTCTAAGTCAACTGGTTTAGTTTTTAAGTGCTGGCTTAGCTTCGTTCGTCATTATAACTCGCTATTGGTAGAATAGGCGAAGTTGGAAGTCGTGGAATCTCTCGGTCAGCTTCTGTGAGGCAACACTCAGAAACTCCTAAAACTACTGGCGAACTGCCTGAGGGCGTTCGTTTATATGGACACCGACCAAAAACCGGTGCGGGGTTAGAGGCAGCCTGGGACCTTTGGTAAATCCCGATTTCTGACAAGAAACCTGTTTGTTGTCTGGCCAGGAAAATTGATTACCTCCCATTTTTGGAAAATTAATCACTTTCCATTTAGGGGGATCTCTTCGTTCGTGAGGAGAGGTTGCAGGATAGCCATTCTCCTAAATTCCCCACTTCTCACACTGATAGCTCATACCAAATCCTTTCAGTGGGCGTTAATAATTTCCCCGTCTTTCTCATCAAATTACCCCCGCCTATCACCATTGCTAACACCTGACCAATGGCGTCGCGGCCGTGGCTAAGCTGGCCTCATTAAAATTATAACCAAGAATTTTTTTGTTTATAAAATTCACTTTCTATGGTCACTTAAAATCGCTAAGATCTTTTGGTCACCTTGCGTCTTCTTAATCAGTACTTTTACAAACGTCATCAATCAATTGTCAAAGTCTGCTATCTGGTTCCTTCATGAAGTTAACGTCTAGAGGAACCCTTGGCTTCTTGAGAAAAATAAATAAATTGATAATAAATTTCCTTATCTCCAAATCGGCAATTCTTCCGAGATATTTTCTCATGCCAAAATTCTATAATCGATACATGGCCACTTAACTTGACGGTACTTAAAGTGATATCTTGGAAAAATAAACAATGGTAATTCTCTCTACCCCGTATCGGCAAATAATTTCAGAATATTTTCTCATGCCAAATTTTTTATAATTAACATCAGGCCTGTCGCCTTATATCTTAAATGCTTTTTCTGATTGTCGTGTTTTCTTGGCCAGTACTTTTACAAACATCATTAATCAATTGTCAAATGCTCGCATATGGCCTTTTTATGAGTCCACTGTTTACGGCAATTTTCGGGTTATTGAGAAAAGTAACTCGATCTTGTTTTTAACGTAAAAAATAAAAATCTTGGGGTATCTTTTCCGCTTTCAATATTTTCTTGTTTAATTTTTATGGTTAATTAGTTAATTAATTACCATAGCTAAATAGTGTCATATATATATATATATATATATATATATATATATATATATATATGTATGTATTTATATTATCTATCTATACATATATATATGTATATATATATATATATATATATATATATATATATATATATGTGTGTGTGTGTGTGTGTGTGTGTGTTTGTTTGTTTGTGTGTGTGTCTGTGCGTGTGTGTGTATCACTAAAGACGACTGACAAGGTACTGTGTTTAAGCTTTTTATTCAATTTATTTTCTATTTCTACAAGTGTTTCCTTTTCTGGACATAAAGTATATAAGTAGGTTTCGTCCCCTCTCGTCAGAACTGTTAACGGGGAATTTAGATTATGAGGAAAAGAAAAAAGTCTGTCATGGGTGACATGAATGAATGGACAGGGAAAAAAAAAATTAAAATTATACCAACCAAGCTGCTAGAAGCGCAGAACAGCAAGTCCAAGCAAACAATCTCTTTGTTTGCAAAGAGCAGGTTGCCTGGACCTGATGTAAAGCGACTCCAACACCTTAAGATGGAAAAGTGAACTGGCAACTGGTCTCCCTACTGCGGGAAAAATTTAGTCTCCTGTCATCGGAAGATACATGATGTCACGATCATGTGTTTTCCGATGGCGCGAACATAAGACGAATCGAGTTCTCCAGTCCCTGGCGTGTTTATCTAAAAATAATAACCAAATCGGTCGGAGAGATGAAAGGGAAGTTAAATAATGGTTTAAATGAGTGAGAGATACAGATAAATATGAATTATTTTCAGATGCATAAATCTACCTGTCCTGGACATTGAGTTCCACCTGGAAACAATACTGTTGGGAATTATATATATATATATATATATATATATATATATATATATATGGTGTGGATCGTAAAGAAGTTTAAATGCTTTTTCTTCATCTAGCTATTCTGGGCTGTATATTCTAAGGGCTCTAAGGTAAAAACTTATTATAAATCTTGATTTTATTTTTTGGCTGTGGTGGGAGTAGAAAATGATTAAATCTTTTTTGTTAATCGGTTTTCTGTAAACTCAGCTGGTTTCACACACACTTTTATAAACAGAAGTGCACAAATGTTTCAAGCCTCTCGTTTAACGCCTCAAATTCATTTGGCGCCTAAATGTGGGTCTTTCCCATTATTACCAAATAAATGGAGCCATCTCTCCCCTACCAGGTATATTATCAACCAAGGGAAGATAACCTATATTTTTTTTATAGATGAGAAAAGGTAGAGTTTTTTTTTTATTTCATGATCAAGTGTGAATTCGATGTTAGGTTTTACGTTATTATATTGTCTAGTAGATTTTAATTGTGGAGATATATTAGAAGGGCGTCATCTATGTACCCGAGGTAATCGAAATTTTGGGTTAAATTGTATTTGAATGGACTAGACTCTAGGAATTCTAGGGACAGGTATATTATGTATTGCATTGCATGGATGTATCAGAAATAACTCATTGATGAGAAAGCCCAGGACAGTAAAATTCTAAATAATATTACTACTAATCCTACTAATGTAATAAAAAGCCAGTAAAATTAAGATGAAAATGAAAGAAATACTTGTCAACAATAATGTTTTTCTGGAGGGGGTTGTTTTTTTTATGTTTTTTTTTTTTTTTTTTGTTTAATAATAGAAATTTCAAGTTATGAAATTCCAAAATTTCAAGATAATTTGAAAACAATTTTTTTCAGTCGCCCGGGAAAGGTTCTTATGCAGTCACCGGCGTGCTGAGTCGTTGTTTATCGAGTCGGTCAACTCCAAATGCCCGTTCTATTCTTATGCTTGCACCAATGCCGAGGATCTGCACAGCGGGAATTGCCTGCACGATGCTGGAGAAACGGGTCGCATGGGATTCCATGCGGACAAAGCTTTCGGACGAGGAGTTCACATGTCGGAAACGTTTGACAAAGCTCCTTACTGTAGTAAGTGTTCGATATTTTGCTCATTGGTTAAGATAGTGGCAATTTTTTTTTTTTTTTTTTTTTTTGTTATTGTTGTTTTTTTTTTTTGTTTTTTTTTCTTACAACCGGCGCTAAGGGGTTATGTTTAGGTGAAAGCTGGTATTTTGTATACTGATTGTTAAAGGCGCGCGTGCGAACACACACACACACACACACACACACACACACACACACACACACGCACACACACACACACACACAAAAAATCCTGATTAGACAAGATCTAAGACTGGGTGTAAAGTTGAGCTTATTGTATATTTTCCTGCAATGCCATTTTTGATGTTCATGGCAAAAGATCAAAATCAAAAATAATATATAAAACAAATTAAAAAAAAACAATATAAAAAAGATAAAAAAACAATAAAAAAAACAATAAAAAATAAAAAGTAAAATAATTTTTTGTATGTATCAAAATTAGTCAAATTTCTGTTATTGTGTTATTATTTAAATTTTTGTTTTTTATATTTTGTGTTATTTTATTAATACTTAGTTAATGCTTATTAATGTTTATTTAGGCTTATTAATTAATTAATGTTTATTTATGCTTATTTAATGCTTATTTAATGGCTTATTAATACTTACCTAATGAATTTTATTAATTTAATTTATTAAATTTTTGTTATTTGTTCAGTCTAATTTTTCAGATTAGTCAAGTTTTTGCATATCAAAACCAATCAAAATAAAAAATGAAAAAATAAAAAAAACAATAAAAAAGTAAAAACAAAATAAAATATCAAAATAAGAATTGAAAAATATAACTTTGGAAGAACTTTATTTTTCCTATTTTAGGAAAAATAAAGTCCTTCGGGCCCGAGAAAAACCAAAAAAAACACGAAGTGACAAAAGGACGGTTTTTCCATTGACACTGCTAACTATCCTCAGGCCTAAGCAATTTTTATTGTTTTAAAAGCGATTATTAGAATTATAATAAAACCTAAACATATGAAAGTGAATTTATACATTTTCTTTGTTCTTGAGAATTGACAATAAATAAACACTATTTATTTATTAGATTGTAGTTTATTTGAATGGCTGGCAAAACATCGGCTACATACCAATCGGTTCGAACTTTATAAAATGATAAATAAAGATTTCCTTATAATTAGTTCAAATATT